TTTCTTTTTTTTTTTTTTTTTTTTTTTTTTTTCCCTTCTGTTTTTTAACATTCCTTTATATTTTCGCATACATTCCAATTTGACGACGTGAACAACCGTCACTGGGGATTCGTTTTCGCGACACCATCGCGTCTTTTCAATTTTTCTAAAACGTTAAGATTAAACAATAAGTTTCAAATTGTACGTTGCCCGGAATGAATCTTGCTCGTGTCGTTTCGTTACAATGAGATGTAAATTGTTTTACTTGCAATTTTTACTAGATATTTTTGAATAATATTCGAACGAATTTTTTCGTTGTGTGTATATAAATTATAATAATATATATATTATTATAATACACGATATATATATATATATTATTATACACCATATGCACGCACATATATATATATATATATACGTATTATTTATAATATATATTATATATTGTATGTATTTTATATATTTATATATGAATATATATTATTTATAATATATCTCGCGAACAAAAGAGATATCCTCGTTGTTTTCTTTTTTTTTTTTTTTTTTTTTTTTTCTTTCGCAAAATTTAATAACAGAATAGCAAGATTTCTACGAATGACTCGACCACGGTATTTCGTGTTTCTTCGATTATTAAATCGTGGCAAAATTTTGTGGAGCGTGCCGCCTCTAATTGCGCGGTACCCGTCGCATACGATCAATTAATGCTCGATTAATTGCTCGTGAAGCGCAAAACGAGCCAATCACCGAGGATAGGATCGAGTCTCTCCTCTCTCGCGACACGAGCGAATTTCCCTTCGAGCTACGCACAGCTCGTTACACTTACACGTACACGTCACACAGATCATACATACGCATATCACGTGTGTATATTTACATATATATATATATATATATGTATATATATACACGTACGACGAATAAATGACGACCTCGCCTCGTAACGAAATTTACGTCGTGTTTACGCGTAATTATTTCTGTTGATCATCGCTTAATCGATCGCCGGATCCGATCTTAGGCAACTCTAATAGTTGATCGTACACCGTTACGTATTTAAATTTCGTTGTCCTGTTCCCGATTGTTGTTGTTACGAGAACGATATTATTACATTTTCTATTTCCTTTTTCTCTCGCGTTTCTCTAGATCGTTGATAGAATCATTTCGTTCCACGATAATTTGTTTCTTCCCCCTGAAAACTGATCTATCTCGTTATTCGTATATATAGGACCAGGTCCGATAATTACGTGCGTTATTATTATTATTATTATTATTCGAAGATCAATTAGAAGGATCGAATAGAGAAATCGATATTTTCGTATATCAGTTGAATATTTGAGAATTTCGTAGCGTTTAAGTATACAGTATTATTTTATTATTGTTGTTACTTTAATTCGTCAGAATTTCGAGTATTCTCGCGTCGATTGTATTCGCGCAGTATACGATTTATTCCGTGTAGAAATTAAATTTTGTTCGCTCGGAGACTCGATCGCTGTCATATAATACACGTACATAATACACGTACACAGAATACGTATCATAAATATACACGTATGACGTCCTTTCGCCAATTTTCGTTTTTGTAGTTATCTCGTATCTTTAATGAAAAAGAAAAGAAAAAGAAAAAAAAAAAATTGACGAGAAGAAATAATAAAGTGGAAGCGAGAGAAAAAAAAAAGACGATAAATTATATAGCACTCTTGCCATTTTTACTACGTAATATGACACCCAGAACAGACTACCTCAGAGTTCAGGAATTTAACGATGAATGAAAGAAAGAAAGAAAGAAAAGATGAAAGAGCCAATGCAATAATAATAATGTTATTAAAGAAATGAAATGTAGCTGTGCGCGCCATCCGTGCGGGCGGAACGACGTACTACTTCTTACCTTTCTCTCACGTTTTTCACGTTGAATTTAAAATAAATAATTTTCAATTGGTTATTAAATTAATAATAGTAAATTAATAGAAAATTCGTGATTTATTACAATAATTATATATATATATATTTTTTTTTTCATCCGTTTCTCGAATTGGCCAGTATAATAATATGTATATAACAACGACGGAACAAATTGCAGAAGAATCTCTCTTTCTTCTTTACTTTTGCCGCAAAGTTCCTCGAGTCGCCCGCCGGTCGTATGAGCGTGTTAATAGAGCATTATACATATAGATTCTAATATAAACGAGATAAAGGGGAGAGAGAAGAGAGATAGGGGCAAAAAAGTGGGAGACGATTACGAAGGGGAAGATTTGTAGAGATCGATGTACGTTTTTAGAGACATATCAAACAGTATTACTGTACACTCAGTTTTATTATAAATATAAAGTTGAAAGAAAAGGGAGAAGGGAGAATGGGAAGGGAGGAATGAAGTCGAGAGAGATGGGATACGATGAGAACGCGTTGGTGAAATTATTAGATCGTCAATGATCGAGTTTTATTACTATACATATTTCCGATGTCATATCATTGTCCCCGTATATATTCGTATTGCGAATGTGTTTCAGCGAAATGATAATTAATTAAATAAATACGTTTAAATACAGGCGTGATATAAAGGATAAGAGAGATTAACGACGAGGAATAAGAAAGATGAAATAATTTTCCAATTTTCGTTTTTTTCCTTTTTTTTTTTTTTTTGTCTAAATAAGAAGCGATGAAGAGAAAGAATAAAATAAATCGCGTAACGAAATCTAACATAATGGGCATTTATGAATAAAATACGAATATAATATGACGATTTTTTGAGGCGACGACGAAATGGTGAAGTAAATTTTTGTAAATTTGTTTTCAAATGAAACGCGTTTCTCTTTTCTTTTTATTATTATTATTATTATTATTATATTATTATTATTAATATTATATTACTATTATTATTAATATTATATTACTATTATTATTATTATTATTATTATTATTATTATTATTATTATTATTATTATTATTATTATTATTATTATTATTATTATTATTATTATTGAAAACAATGCGCATCGTTTGTATTTTACGTTCGATCCGCGAATTTAGGTACGTTTTTTAAACATATTTGTAATTGTAAAATAATTGTTCCGGCACGCAAAGTGCAAAATTATTATATCTATATTATATATAAATATATATATATATATATATATGCACACATATATATATATAATATTATATATATATATATATGTGTGTGTAT